AGAAGAGATATGGACCACTGCTCACAGAGGAAGAAGGTCGGATCGTGGAGGTCGAAGATTTAGGGAGTCGGCTAATAGTGGACGGCAACTCGTACCCGAAGGAAAAAGAGGAGGAATTTGGCGGTGTGGTATCCGTGTCTTTTTTAAGGGCATGGCCCCCTATAGGGGGCTACCCAAGCGACACAAGCGAGTAACTCAAAAAGTTAAGCCAACCGCGGTGGGCCGCGAGCGATCTGCACTGGAAGGGATATCGGAAGAAGAGATCGTGAAAGAAATCAAAGAAAGAAAGAGAAAGGAGCCGCAACGCCTAACGAAAGAGAGGATAGCAGGGATGGACATCGGAGATGGGAATTTGACCCCACAGGAGCGAGAACGTGTGATAGAAATCCTGAAGACATGTCATGAGGCCATAGCTTTTAGTGACGCGGAGCGCGGTAGGATTGACCCTCGATACGCTAAGCCAGCAAGGATTTATACGATACCACATGTTCTCTGGAACGACGTGGGATGGAAATACGCCCAGATTCCCACCTTGCGGAGCCGTCTGATAGCGCTTATGCAAATCGATGGTTCTTCCTACGAAAGCCGAATGGCAAGATCCGATGGATCCAGAACCTTCAGAAGGTCAACGTGGTGACGATACGAGACGTGGGCTCCGTGCCACACGCCGATTTACTGGCAGAAGGCGCAGCAGGTAGGTCGATCTATTCGGTCTGTGATCTGTTCTCWGGYTATGATGAGGTACCGCTTGACCCTAGGGACAGRCACCTCACGGCTATGCATACGCCATTGGGACTAATACAGATGATGGTTGTCCCTATGGGTTGGACTAATGGGGTAGCCGTTTTTCAGAGAGCCATGGTAGTCGTCCTGAAGGACTTCATCCCTGATAAGGTTGAAGTTTTTCTGGATGACTTTCCTATAAAAGGGCCAGTAGACAGGGATGAGACAGAGGTTGTACTTGGAGTTAGAAGATTCGTCGAGCAGCACCTAACAGATATTTGCGCGGTACTCGAGCAGCTGGACGATKCGAATTTAACAGTCAGCGGAACAAAGAGTCGATGGACCGTCTCGACTATTAAGATCTTGGGCTTTATATGTGATTCGAGAGGACGCCGAGCAGATCCGGCGAAGTTAGACAAAATTCTGAACTGGCCCTCACCATTACATAGCCCAACCGAAGTCCAACAGTTTCTAGGAGTGGTCGGTTACTGACGTATATTCATACGGAGGTATGCGGAGAAGTATGAGCCATTGAGGTTACTCCTTCGAAAGACTGAAAACTTCTATTGGAATTCTTCGCAGGAACTTGCTAGGCAAAAACTTAAAGACGAATTTAAGTAAGGAGGACGCGCGTTGGGTGTGCCATTCTTTGACGATGAGACCGAAAGACCCTTCATAGTATCCACGGATGCTGGACCATGTTCAGTGGGTGGTTTGCTGTCTCAGAAGGACGCTGGAGGGAAGGAAAAACCGTTAAGATTTGAGAGTAGGACACTTAATACGGCTGAGCGTAACTACAGTCAATTCAAGAAGGAAGTGTTAGCTGTTCTYCGGTGTCTAGACACGTTCAGACACTATATCTATG